CCTACAATTCGATTCTGAACTAACTACCTAGAGTCAGGGCAGATCCCACAGGCTAAGGCCTCAGTCCCACAAGACTGCTCCCACGTCAGAAGCCAAACAAAAAGTCTGGGCCTCCGTACTCTTGTCTGACCAGCTAGAAATCAGAGGGTTTCCACAACCCCTCTTCAGGTTTGATACTTCGTTGTAACAGCTCACAGAACTCAGGGAGCACTTTACTTGCATTTACTGGCTTACTCTGAAGAATACGAATGAACAGCCAGGAGACACACAGGGCACACGGTATGTGGAAAGGAGTATGGGGCTTCCGTGCCCACTCTGGATGCAACCCCTCTTTGTACCTCAATTCATTCATCAACCTAGAAGCTCTTCAAATCCTACCTTTTAGGGAATTTTAGGGTGGCCTCATCAGGTAGACATGATTGATTATCAACTCAGTCTCCAGCCTCTCTCCTCTCCCCAGAGGATGAGGAGTAGGGCTGAAAGTTTCAAGCTTCTACTCATGGCTTGATTTCTTTTTCTTTTTTTGGTGACTAACAACCATCCTGAAGCTATCCAGGAGTCCGATAAGAGCTGCCTCATTAAAACAAAAAAGAGGCTCCTATCACCCAGGAAATCCCAACTGAATTAGGAGCTCTGTGTTAGAAGCCAGTATCAAAGACCAAACATTAGAAGGGAAGATATTCCTACCACCTGGTCACTCAGGAAATTACAAGGCTTTTAGGAGCTCTATGTCAGGAACCAGGGACAGAGACCAAACATATACTTATTAAGTCACATCCCCAAAAGGGAGAAGGTGTGTTTTCTCATCCATTCTTCATCTTGCTGCTTGGAAGGAAGCCGTGGTTGAAAGCCACCTTGGATCACGCAGACAAGGGCATCACATTAAGCACAGTACAGGGAAGAAGCCACCTGGGTTCCTGGATGATCTCATAGAAAGCCTCTATCTCTGGACTACCAGAGAAAGAAATAAGCTACCTTATTTCAATCATAGGTAGTACAATATCCTAATAATACAGAACTGTAGAGGTTGAAGGTACAGGTCAACTGAGGAAAGGGCATTACTAGCAAAAGAAATAGCATAAGCAAAAATATAGAATTGGAAGAGAATTAACAGGATCCATTAAGATTGATCTCTTCTACCAGGAGAGTGATGGGGGTGAGACTGGAGAGTCGGGGGCCTCTAGATCACATCGGGTCTTAAATACCACACTAAGGAGTTAGGACTTGTTTCCTGCAGGTGGTGAGATGCTATAACGACAAATCATTAAGTCATATCCGATTCACATTTTAAAATAATACTGGTGGTGTATAAAAATGGGTTTGGTGTGGATGGGGGAGAAAGGAGTGGTTAAGTGACATGAGGTAAGAGTTGGAGGAAATGCAAGAAGAATGGCTGCAGCCAAGGAGCTCAGTTAGGAGGGCAATGGATCCCAAGATATTTAAGAGGCAACATCATTGATTATACCCATCACTTAGCTAACAGTGTGGGTATGGAATGTATGCCATCTATGTTTTGGGTTTGAGTCATGGACAATAGGACCTTTACCATGATAGAAAACACGGAAAGAAAAGCAAATCTATCTTGGGGAAAATGAGTTGAGCCTGAGGTGACTATGGGCCTAATGACAAGCTTGTTCTTCAGGCTGGAGCTCAGGATGGTGCAGGACTGACATTCAGATAAGTCATCAGTGGAGAACAGTGTTTGAAGTCATGGGAAAGTGCAACATTTCATTGTTGTATGATAGCACTGAGGTATGTGACCAACTGTATTCAGGTCAATCTCCAACAACAAATGGAAGACGCCCACCAACTCCTTTTCATGTTTACTGTGGACCAAGAGTTAAAAAAAAAACAACAAAAAAAAACCCCACTAAAGGTTAGGGGCAACTGGTCAAAGTTTCAAAATAGAAAAATGCCTAGAAGGCAATAGGATCTTATCAGAAGCAATTCTAACCCTGATTGGACCCAACTCTAAGACTACATGCAGGACCCATGAACATAACTGGCACCCGTAAAAGACATTCACATCTTCAAATGTGATATAAAATGTCTCACTGCACTGGGATTTTGCATCAAAAAGACATGAAATGAATCCAACTCCAACATTCAGGGTGGTGCGCACCAAAAGGTACCACAGAGAACATTCAGATATAGCTTTCAAGGCCCTTGGAGCAATACTTTGTCTTAAATAGAAGTAGGCGTTGACACTGCTGTGAAAGATTTGCCAGTGGCTCCAGTTATCACAGGGGAGAAAAAGCCAAGCAATTATTTTCTCCCCAATTATGGCTAATTCTCTGCAAGTTAATTCTTGGGTTTGCTAAAATGGGACCAGAAAATTAGCCCTTCGTCTGCAAGTCTGAAGATACAGGACCCAGCAGCAGCTTATGACCTGGGGCTTATTCTTTATTACTTCTTAAGGAGTGAGGAGGGGGCAGCGAGAGGTGTTTTGACTTAGGTACCATTTAGCCAAGTGGAGAGAAAAATTTCCCTTCAGCTCTGAAACAGGATCGTGGAGCTATAAAATTTATTGGACACAATTCAGGCAAGGGTGTTGGGAGAAAAGAATCAAAGAAAGAACTATGGGCTAAGTTCAGAAGAGTGTAACGAAATCTGCACCTGTTGTCACTCACTTATTACCCCAGATCTCCCAGGCAGCTTAGATTTAAACCAGACAGGCCTGAGGTCCAGCCTAGTCAACATTGGCCTATTTTACCTATTAGCACAGAGTGAAAAACATGTGTCATATGTGTGCTGTTTGTGCACACATATGTGCACACCTGGGTATGCATGGGTGCACATACATGTGTGCCGAAAATAAACTGAGAGGGAGGGAGCCTGGAGGAGAATGAGACTTAGAGTTGTGTGTGTGTTGGGGGAGGAGAGGCAGGAAACAGCAAACTTTGCCAGCAAATCACTTTAGCCCAGAAAATGCAAATTCCAGATTCCCTGATATTTGCTATTTGAGGGTTTATTTTCATGTCTGGTTTGATCAAATCCCCAGAATAGTTTTCATAAAAGAAAAGTAATAGCACCAAATAAATTGAGTTGATTAGAAAGAAAGGTACCCAAGGAAAAAATATCCAGAGAAGACATTACTGAGGTATAAAATAATATTCCATTTATTCTCTGAAGACCTCCATTTCCACACGGACTTTAAATCTCTGTATATATATTTATTACTTTTTAACCTGTAAGTTTCTAAGCTTAAAAAAGAAAAAAACCAGAATTATAGAAATTAACTTTATCAGGGCCCCAAGAATTTACTTTAGGTAAACGTCTACTCCAGGTCACCCCTCTTTAACCTTTTATATTCAGTGCAGCCATACATTTAATTGTCTCGCATTTTCAATTTTCATGAGACTAAAGAAAGTTGTCTGCTACGTGAACTCAGTCACACTAAGTGGCCTGTCACGTGTCACACTTGCTGAGCACTCCCAGACCAAAGGAAACCCCTCAGCCCCAGCCAGAGAAAGGTGCACGGAAAGAAGGACAAGGTCTCCTCCTTTTTCCTTTGGTGAGTAAAAGCCAAGATTTCCACCAAGTTCTGGAGAACAGAATAGATGTGAGAGGGATCCTCACCCCACCTTTCATATCCAAAAGCATTTCCTAATGCTGCCAAGTAGTCCACTCAGGACTCACTAGTACCAAAAGGTGCCATCACAGGCCCCAGGGGTTGGCAGTCCTCAGCGCAAATCCAAGTCACATGACCTTGGAACAAGATGCCTACCTCTCTAAGTCCCAGTTATCTCATCCAAGAAATAGAGTCATAGCTTTTAAAGTTTAAATGCAATAATCCAGGAAAAGTATCCTGCAGAGTCCCATATGTTACTAGCACTCAGTATATGTTCTTATAATTTTAAAAGTACTGTGTAAGCTCAAAAGAGCTGGGCAAATAGCAGTTAATTGGATCTCTCAAGCAACTGTCTGATCTCTGTGTACTTACAGGCAATGCCATACACACTGGCATTTAATTACTGTACTGAGGTATCCTCCAGTTGGAAAGCATAGGGTGGTAGTTCAGCACTCTGGAGGCAGACAAACCTGGGTTCCAATTCCAGCTCTACCACCTATTAGCTGAGAGACTTTGGGTAAATCATTTCATCATTAAGAGCCTTCGTTTCCCTGTCCATAGGATGGAGGTTGTATGATATAACAGAAATAAAGTAAACTCTCAACAAAATCTGGTTATGTGTCTATTACTCACTATCATTAATAGAGCCCTGGGTAATTTTTAAGACTGGAAAATGTTACATGATCCCTATAGATTGCCCTGCAGGACACATGGAATCATAAAATAGCAGAGGTAGAAATGACCATCAAGGCCCATAATCCCTACCATGTGTACCACAGTCCCTATCCATATACTTGGCAATCATTAATAGTTGATTGTTCTTTCTCACCTAGCTGAGACTGGCTTCCCAGTGATCCCCTATACTGTGCTCTAGACAGCCATTTCCAATCCACAAGAACTGACATGAGAGCTAATCTATCTGCTGTCCCCAATCCAGTCCCCCATCCCACGTGAGAGATGAGAAAGCAGAAAGCTACCGAGACTAAGTGACTAGCCAAGGGTCCCCTACCTAGTAAGTGACAATCCTGGCCCCACAACATGGACCACCTAACTCCTCACATGTTGTTACTTCCATCCTTCACCCAGTCTCTCCAAGTTACCAATACATCCTCAGGGAAATGATGGAAGGTACTCTGTCAGCCTCGTCTTCCTCCTCAGGGCTGCACAGAGGGGCTGCTGTACTTAGCAGATTATTTGTAGTCTAATTCTGAGAGGTCCCCTTCTGTGGCAGGTGGGGGGCAGAGAGTAAAGCATCTCTCAAATGTTTTGATTGAAAGCAGAGATTTACAGATGTTCCTGGCCAACTCTAGTTCTCAGGGACATGAGCAAAAACAAATCCTCTCAGTCCAGAGAGCCCGAACTGAAATTTGAGCTACAGCAAAGTGAGTCATTCAGTTGAGGAGGGGAATGCAAGGTAGCTGACTCTCACCTACACCATCTCCTGTCTCACTGGGTCATGAGTACAGCAGTAGCTATGCGGTTGGTGCCACTGACAGATCAGTGGCGGCCTGAGGCCATCTGTTTCTGTTGAGCAGGCAGAATCCCAGCATGCACTGGTTCCAACTGGATTTTTATGGGGAGAGAGGCAGGCAGAGAGGCCGCAAGGGCCCCAGCTGCTGTCACCAGACAGGGAGGCGCCTCCTCTTCACCTCCGTCCTGGGTGCCCTCCACGGACCTGAGTTCCCAGCTGTCTTTGTGGCTAGAGACTCTCCTCGTCTGACTCAGAATATTAAATGTACCCTGTGTCCAAAGGGAGAATTCAAAAAAAATTTTTTTTTCTTTGCTCATATTTGTGATAGGGAAAGGAGGTAGGGTAAAAAAAATTGAACATATTCTCTGTTGCAGGTGGCACCATCTGTTGCAAGATTTCTACTTCCCTCAATTCTACATCACGTGGCTTCCAAAAACAGGTTTTGAAACAAAATAATATCATGATGATCATAATCAAGCTTGTATAAGCACCGCCTATCCAGCCTCACCAAATTGTGGGCAACCACAGTTCTTTTTTCAATGTTAACCTCATCCAAAGTGACTTGGATTTTATTAGAACTGAACAAGACACAATCTAGGCACTAGGGAGCAAGGAGGCAGGTTCCTAACTTCATGAAACAAAAGCAAGCACTATACTTCCAGAAAGTGGTAAGTGCTATGAGGACATAACATATAAATGTAGGGGAGGCCCATTTGAGATGGGGGTCTAGGAAGGCCTCTCTGACGAGGTATCTTTTGAGGTGAGACCATCTGAACAAGAATGGCAAATATACTACCACTTTTTTATATTAACATATATTGTGCTATTATTATTTAGTCCTGAGTTACTGGTATTTTGTGGGTGTAACGCTGTTAGTTCAGACATCAGTCAACAACTTCATTCATCCTTCTTGACTCTTCCCAACTCAATTCCTCCCTCCTTCCCCTCCTCTGCCTTCTTAATATTAAATGTACCCTGTCTCCAGAGGGAGAATTCAAAAAAAACAATAACAAGCCCTCCAGGTGCCTCTTTGCCCCTCAATTCCACAACTCCCCTGCCCTGTCCATCTCCTACTGGGAAAAGGAAAAATCTGACCTCCAGTTGGGCCATCCCTCCCAGACCAGCAAGAAGAAAAAAATTCCTGGAATTGAGAAGAGGTGGTGGTGGTGCTGGGTGCTCAGGTAAGGTGGGGTGGGAGGTGGGTATGTTAAACCCCCTCCTTCCTCCATGCAGCTTTAGGGGAAATGCAGGACACAGGGAGTTGACATCAAAATAACTCCTGCCAGTAGTGCCCAGAGGAAAACTAGCTTCGTAACACCTTCCTAAAGTTTCATATTTGAAACTTATTAAATTTCACAGATAACAAAGTTAAGAATTGAAAATACTCTTAAAATCTTATTCCTTGGTATTACATAAATTACACACTGCAAACTCAATTCCATTAATTTGCTCCGATACCAGCTGATTTGGTGAAAAATAAAAATAGTCAGAGGAAAATAATTTCAGTCAAAGGGAACAGTGAATTCACAGAACCTACAGCAGAAAAGAACTTGGCATGCTCAAGGGAACTCAAAGAAGCAGAGGTGGCTGGAGAAAGGCAGGAGAGGGAGAGATGGCAAAAGACGAAGTGGAAGAATTAGGCAGAAGCAAGAATCTTGACACAGTGAGAACTACAATCAGCATCTGCAGACAGACAGACAGACACACACACACACACAAACACACACACACGCACAAACACACACACGCATGCACACACACACACATCTGCAGAAGGAAAGTCAGGTGTATGTATATAGCTTGTCACTGGAATAGCAGGTCCAATTTTGCTACCTAAATTGAAAGCTCATTCCCCTTCCCCTCTGCTACTCATTATGTTCCCCCTGCCAGAAAAGCCCACCCTTTAAAAATGTAGTTAGTGTTAGGGAAGGATCTATATATATCAGGTGAGTGAGTTGGGGGTACATATCCACTCCCAACTTTCCAATGTTAAAAAAGTACAGAAATGTCAGCTGGGCATGGTGGCTCACACCAGTGATCCCAGTACTTTGGGATGTCAAGGTAGGAGGATTGCTTGAGCTGAGGAGTTTGAAACCAGCCTAGGCAACATAGCAAGACCTCTTCTCTACAAAAAAATTTATAAATTAGCCCGCCTGTAGTACCAGCCTCTTGGGAGGCTGAGGTGGAAGAACTGCCTGAGCCCAGGAGATTGAGGCTGCAGTGAGCTGTGATTGTGCCATTACACCCTAGCCCAGGTAAGAGTGAGACCCTGACTAAAAAAAAAAAAAAAAGTACAGAAATGTGAGAAATCTCCAAAGCACATGAAAACAGTCACAAAACACCAGAATCTATTATAATTCTGATTGTCCTTTCCCAGTATAATAATCATGTAAATTTAGTCCAATTTAATTACCTCATCCAAATAATCCATGTTTCCTAGGTATTTTAGTCATACTATACCTACACATAAGCTTTTACTTATCATTTATTGAGAGCCTAATATACACCAGGCATTGTGCTACATGTTTTATATATAAAATTGCTTTTTATTCCTCACAAGAATATTCGAAGTAACATTAATCTCATCTCATGGGTGAGGGAACTGAAACTCAGAGATCTTAAGGTCACATCACTGTGGAAAGTGAAAGCGTCTAAATTTGAACCCAGATCTCTTTGATCTAAAACCCACATTCTTTCCAATACAGCAAGAGTCTTTCTAAAACTGTGACTCTCTTAAGAGCAAAGTTCACAACCTACACTTCTACTGATTCTTCAACGCCCAAATTCTTCACAGCTGGCTTATGAGTGAAGCCCTCCAAGACCACTTCAACCCACACCAACCATGCCTTCCTTTGACCCTGAACAGTGCCTACCATTCATTTATCCATTGAACACACATAAAACGGAACAGTTACTGTACACTGGGCATCATTCTGCGAGTGAGTCTATAATAGTCAAGAGAAAGCCCCTGCTCTCGGGGAGCTCACAATACAAGGAAGAGACAGCCATCAGCACACGGAAAAATCCAATACTGCCATGCACCAAACAAGTTAGAACTAAATTGTGTATTTTATTGGGGCTCTTTTTCATTCTTCACGTGCATTAATGCTGTTTCTAAAATGGGCTGTAAAGCCACCAAGTATAAGCACTGTAGCTGCTCCTGTATTTCTGATGGCATTTAGCATGGTGCTATATACATCGAAGGTTCTCAGAAATCTTTGTACATTGACTAGTAATGTCCTTTCAGGTCCTGGCTTATCATGGTAACCATGCTTTTTCATTCAAGTCTGCTTTCAGGTATTCAGTGCTGATGGTGAGTGTCCCAAGCAGTGAGCCCTGTGAACAATCTGAAAACGACCACATACTGCCTCCTCTTTGAGGACACCATCGCCGGGGTAGGGAGGCAGCCAAACGTCTGTGAACAGGTGGGGCAAGGTGGTTGTACAGAGGAAGAAACTGCTGGGAGGCTTCACAGAGGAATAGGATTTAAAGGATGCAGAGGACTTGGCCAAGCAGGTCAAAAGTGGAAGAAAACTCCAGCTAGGAGAAATAGAGAGATGTGAAGGCACAAGCTTCCAGGACACTCTTAGTGGACTGAGATGGTCTAGTCTGCCTGAAGCAGGGAAGGTTGGGAGATGCAGCTGGAGAAACAGGGCCAGGGCAGGAAGGGTCTTCAACACTATGCTCACTCAGAGGCTCAGATTTTTTTCCTCAAAGAATGGAGTCACTGAAGGGATTTAGCAATGGAAGAGCATAATGAGATGTGTACCAGTACACGGATCCCCTCTGAGGAAAGTGAGCAGGAAAGCAGAAGACAGACAGGAAGGAAACCAGTGCGTAAGCTGTTGCAATATACCAGGTGAGTGACAGTGAGTGCCTGGAATCTACCGGTGGAATCTTTTCTTTGCATCTGACATTCTGATCTTTACATTGTCAGATAAATCCAACATGCTGAATGGTGTCCACATTGGCACAAACTCCAACTTTCTTAGGCTTGTTATAAGATGCCAGCAACAACGAAAAATTCAGATATGGGAGAACCATCTAGAAGAGGCTTCTGCACCTCAGCTGCCATGTTCCTTTGCCAGAGTTTCCCAGTGATCACACCCCAGCATTTTGAGCAGTGAAAAAGGCTTTCAGTGGAACCTTTATCCAATATTGGACAGAGAAAAACAAACCCATCAAAAGAACCCTATAAAGGAAGCTCTGGCAGCCTGCCTGATTGGTCCAGTTTCCTGATCTCTAAACAGAGCCCCCTCCTGCTTTACCCTGTGGAGCCAAGAAAGAACTGAGAAATGGGCTGGAGGGTTCAGAAAGGCTGTGTTGTACAGCAGGATTCAAGCACCTCTTCTGCCACATGTTTACTTTGTGATTTTAGGTGAAGTGCTGAACCTCTCTGGGTTTTACTTTTTTTTTTCTTTCTCCAAGCTGCTCCCATGCTTTCAGCACAGTCATCCACATGAAGAATTACCCATTTTCTAAGCTGGAATTTAGTATCAGCTCCTTTAATTTTACTACATGGAAAACTGGGTAACTGTATTGCACCTTTAATTTTACTACATGGAAAACTGGGTAACAATTATTGCTTTCCAAGGCCAAAGTTAAAGAAGAAAATATAAACTGCGAGTTGTCTACTATAAAAGTTGGAATTCAAGAAATACTGCCGTCTTTCCTCTTTGTATTTGCCATTTATTTACCTAGTGCTTATGTAATAATTGCTAAATGCAAGGTCATGTTTATAAGCAAGTCATCTTAAATTTTAAAAATTAAAAACAATTACACCAACAAAAATCATGCCACATCCACCTTAATAAGGTAGAACTATATGTAAATGCATTCTGAATCTCCTTAGCGACTGAATCCCCTCCTTCCATTAAAAGTAATTGAATCTAGTAAGTTATCAAAGTAACAGAACATAAAAACCATATAGAAAGCTCAAAAAGTTACAGATCTTTAGATTCTTTTTCTACCCAGGTCTACTGAATTGGAATTCCCAGGGAGTTATCCAAGTGTTTTTACTAAATTTTTTAAAAATTAAAATTAAAACCTCTTCAGGTGATTCCTGCCATCATGACTTACTTTTG